GTAACACAGTAATGACAGTCAGCTGGCCATTTGTTTTTTTTTTTGTGAGGTGTAGGAATCACTGCTGCAACATTCGAGGTGCTTATCTGAAACCAGTGTACTTCTACCTGGCCAGTTTCAGGTCCTTTGTTGTTGCAGTTTCTACGACAGCAGAAGTTGGAAACTGAAATGCCGGAAAGCCATTTCATTTGAAGTAACACCATTTCGATCTTTATTTTCTCTCTTGCATCAATAATAGCTATTAGGTGTGCAATTAACTGGCCAAACAGCTTTCGCTCAGGTGATGTCTGTGGCATGGGATGCGTCTCAACAGAAAAACAAAGCAGAAAGCAAGCCGCTGTTCTGTGCTAAGTATATCTGAACCTTGTGTGTAAATAATTGTATTGCGGATTTTTAGGGAAAACGAGGTGACCTGCTGGTGTGGCTGTTGGTGGTTCTGTGCATACCTCCTAGGCACCAGTCTTAAATCCAACCAGGGTGCCTGCTGTATGGAGTTTCCATGTTCTCCCTGTGTTCGTATGGGTTTCCTTTTGGAGCTTAGGCTTCCTGCCATCTCCCAAAACTATGCCAGCTAGGTTAATGGGAGCCTTGAAATTGTGTAGCCCTCATCTCCACGGTGTAGCCCTGGTGCTTGTGCTCTGTGCTCAGTAGAAACGCATGCATGTGTTGCTGTCTCTCTCTCTCCAGGGATAATCGGGTTTCTGCCTTGAAAATGGAATTTTAAGGGAAAGGACTCTTTCATTTCTTGGTGAATTGAATGCCAGATAATTAGAGGCTGCACGTATTGCGTCGATTTGTTTCTAAACAAAATTTAAACAAAAGAAGATGACCTTACCTTTAGATAAGGGGGAGAGGTAGTGAACAAAATAATGAATTCTGCTTCTTATTAATGTGCTTTGACATATCGGTGTCATATTCTTTTTCAGGGGAAACATGCCTCATGTTCAATTTTTTATTTTTAAAGCAATTTCATTCAAATCCTTTAAAGTGCTTTTGAATGCAAATACACAGATGAGTCTTGGCATGCCTGTATGACTTTCCTAGTCCCAACAAAGCATGATATAAAATTGTTTTATCAGCCTAAATATTTTATTGTGGAAACAGCTTAACATATTCATAGCTAAATTCATAATTCACTAGCTGCAAATTCTTCTTGTTTTTGTTCCACCTTAAGTCTTAATAAACTGAACTGAATCATTTATGGACTGATATGGTGAAGTTACCACTTGAGGATTTAAACATTTCCTATTAAATCAGTAGGACTGTGATACTCAAGGTTCAAAATTGTTCTAACTTGTTGTAGTGATGATGATGAGTAATTGAGTGTTCCATTAATTAAACACATTTAACCTTTTTAAAGATATGACTTAAATGCCTATAAAAAAAAGTAAATGTTAAAGAACATCTACAAAGATACTTACATTTGTAATATCCTATGGGCATACTACATCACTAACTCTTAGCATGTTGTGACAAAGCCCAACTCAAAATTGCACCTGCAAGGAATGAGATAGAAATTAATTTGAAGTGCGAATCCTTTGAAAGGCACTGTAATGCCAAGGTGTTATGTGAGAATCCTATTTTTTTTTCTCCAGTGGTTCTACATTTTTCTGTTGGTATCCTAAAAGCATCATTTAAAGCCTAGCTTCTAAATGCAATGCAAGGCACATGCAATACACTGTAAGTAAAGCTATCACACAATCTAAAATGGATCAGCAATATTTTTTATATAATCTCAGAGGACTCGGTATTCAGGTGCATCTATCAGAATGTTAACAATAACTTTGCTCTTCTGTTAGTCATCTGAACGATTAAAGAATTTCCATGTGTCTTTGTAGGACTACGGCTACACTGGATACATTTCCTAATCTAGTCTTTCCTTTTCAGTTGTCACCTGAACGGTTAACGCATCGAGTGATTATTTTTTGTTGTGCATTAAAATTCAGTATGTTCTCTGCATACAGTGTTCTAAGTACATAGAGAATTTTATGCTTGCTTTGTACAGCTCCAGTTGAGATCCTTTTCGTCTTATTCTTCAGGCTGCTTCTTTATCAAAAAGCAACATCTTTTAACGGTATGGAGCAACATACATACGGCATTTGAAGTAATAAATTCCACTGAGATGGTATTCCATAAACAAATTTGTTACCAGTAACACCTGTATAGCACTTTTCCTCTTAAACCCTAACCCGTTTTAGAAACGGCATTTCACATTTATTGAGGTCAAAAGAAATAGATACAGTTTTGTGGTGGTAAAGAGGACACCTTTGAAGAATTTATCTTGAATGGGTATTCTGATTTTATTTGTAAATTTTGTCTTGTCTTTACATTAAGACATAGGCTGCCCCAGAAATCAAAAATCACTTTTTTTAGATGACAATCACGTCTTGCGAACCAGTCTTTGTCCTTCTCTTTGTCTTTACAGAATGGGACTGAAATGACAGGTATTGAATGTGTGGGGGGGTGGGCAGCACAGCTAACATCCAGTATTACTTCCTGGCAACCCCCTGTGGAATTCTTTCTAGCTTTGTTTCACTTCATAAAACATTTTTTCCTCAAATTCCAGTGGGGATATTGGATACCTTGCATTGACTGTAGCTAACTAAAGGCAACAGCCCAAGAAGTATCGATTTCACGTGCTACAGCAATAAACTTTTGAAGTGATAAAATGCTCCCCCCCTCCCACCATCCCTTTTTTATATTTACTTGGAGTGTTTTTTTCCTACTTTGCTTTTCTCTTTCCCCTTGGAGCTCTTAGTTTTTTTTCTCTGTGTCCTTAAGTCTGTATCAGATTACTATGAGGAACTGCTCATATTACATTTCAGACTTGCTATAGCTTGCCATTCACCCACACCTCAAAGCAAACTCAATCTTTATATGTCTCTCCTACTTTCTGAAGGACTACAGTAGCTTTTTTTTATGGGATTGCAGTCAGCTGTTTAATGACTTAGGTTGTAGGTTTCCGTCTGTTGAAACAAGGTTGAAGAAAATTTACTGCCAGAAAGTAAGCACGCTAGATAGAAGTTAACAAGGAATTACAAGTTTAGCTTGTTCCTTCATTTTTGCCGTTTCTTCCATGATACACTTTTTGCTGGTTTTGCCCAACAGTGTTCAGCTCATTAAAAGTTGTACGTACGGATGAGTGATACTAATGATCTTATTCAGGTGCAACTGAGTTTACAATGGGTTCAATAAATAATGGTTCTAGACATGCAGCATGCTGGATAAATTTAGAGTAATATGGGGGTTTCAGCCAGCAAAGTTAAAGCTTTCCTTCACAGTATCACATTAGCATCCAGCACCTTGCTTTCTTTGTTGAAAAAGATCATTTGCAGGTAGATTGCCTCTTCTCTTTTTCACTCAGCATTTCCAGATTTTTTTTCTTCTCTTGTGAGAAAGAAGAATATCCTAGTTTAATTGTAAGAGAACTTATTCCACCATGAATAAGGAGGTTCATTACAACTCAGGGAAGGGATTCTCTACTGACAGATTTCACGCTTTTGTCCTTTGAGATCTCAATAGATCCAAAGATACATGTATATTCTGCTGTGAAAATAAAGTTCCTGCCTTTCAAATACACTTCCAGTTCTTAATTTATTATTCTTGCATGAATACATACATTTCTATACAGAAATAATTACTGCATTTTGGTTACAGCACTATTTCTTTATGCTTACCCTGATAGTTTTGTCTTTTCCTTTTCATTTTACACATTGCTCTCACACATCACCATGAAGCTGTACTTTTAGAGATGAAGAGATTTTGTACCTTTGAAGTTAATAAGCAGGTATGAAGATCATTTTTTAAAACCTTTCCTGGTCAATATGAGTAGTTAGTATTATGGGGTAAATGTAACATTGCCTTTAGAAACATTACACGTTTTGTCTTAATATTCCGCAACATTTTAGCCTTATGCTATATCAGGAGACTGTGGAGGATACTTTTTTTTATTTTACACTTTGCTGCTTTGAGTAGGTTTTAAAAAGTAGTAAAAATCAAAGGGGTAATTGCCATCTTTCAAAATTTGTTGAAATCTGATTTGAAGTGCCTCTTACAATACTCATTTTATGGCTTGTAATTCTAGGTCTCTGGTTATGTCAAGAGCATTGATATAATTGTAGTAGATGCTACTGTTGCTATTTACAGTGAACAGGTTTTCCTCTGGGACCTGAAGGCTTTGACCCTGGTGAATATCTGTGCCTGGGTGCTTTTGTAAGGATCATTTACAGTATACAGAACATCAAAAGAAAGGTATTGCCCTGTCTATGCATGATCTGTGCATTTTGGGTATTGATTTAAATATTTTAGCATCATTTTGATTGATTGATCATTCATGACTTGTTGTTACACATGTCCTTGTAGCATAAGCATAAAATCTCCTCATTAATGAGACAGTAGACTGGGGACAGGAGATGAGTTGTTTAGACCACCCTGCTGGTTGTCCATTAATGTGGCTTACATATTCAGCACAATCCACTAATTGTTCCTTAGAACATTATTTTTGTTTTAGCAGGTTTTCTGGCAAGAGGAGAATGTGACAGTTATGCTGAGCGCTTACTCATCGTGATCATTTATGTTGTGACCTGGGATAATGTAGGCATTTCGTTAGGGGTTAGAGACCCGTGGACAGACACATGGCAAATGTGATGAAAAGTGTGTGACGCAAACGTATTGCATCCAACAGTAGACATGCATTCTACTAGCTTCTGACTTTCACAGTTGATGACTGTTGATGTTAATCATCAGAATAAATGTAACAATGTCACATCTATTCAAAATGCACCTGCTATGAAAGTTATTTTTACGATGGGTTTGTGGATTTGCTTAAGTTGTAAGTGATAAGTTTCTTTTCATGTTCAGTGTATGTGATGGAGACTATTCTTTACACGGTCTTATTAAAAGTCAACAATGTGACTTGTCCAGGTAAGGAATGATAAAAGATGGCAATGTAGGGAAGAAAATATGCTAAACCTTGATCATTCTTCTTATTTTATTTCCAGATCACCAGGACATGAAAACCCCGTAATGCTTTGGCGATGACCTGCAGAAATAGCCTCAAGATCCTGTGGCTGGTTGGATTCTACAGTTACCTCCTGGATCTAACTGCAGATAACCATCAAACAAGCCTGTCTAAAAAATCTGCAAGGAAATCAAGAACTTAGGAAGTGTGGGGGTTGGGGGCGAAAACAGAGGCACATAAAATTTGCACCAAAGCTGATGATTTACCATTCCGATATAAAATCCACCATCCGTCTGCAATGGTGACATGAAAAGCATGCGGTGGGGTGAGCTGTATCTTCATGTTTTTCTAAGTTGCTGCTGCTGCTGGGTGTTGTTTACCCCTTTTTAAAGACCGCGCAGGAGAGCAGGAGCATGAATTTGTGTGGAAGAGTGCGGCGGCTGTTCCGGCAGCTAACGCTCCAAACGAGCCTACTGCTGCTCTTTGCCTTCTGCATGGTGAGCGTCTTCGTCTCCGCTTACTTCCTGTACGGCGTCAAGCGGGATCTGGAGCCGGCTGGCGACGGGCCGCCCCAGGACTGCGATGATCCCAAGGTCACCCCTTCCCGCCTGCTCCCTCTGAAGACCATGAAGCCCGCGGACACCTCTCGCACAGACCCCGTCGTGCTGGTTTTCGTGGAAAGCCTGTACTCGCAACTCGGCCAGGAGATTGTGGCCATCCTGGAATCCAGCCGCTTTAAATACAGGACCGAAATCTCCCCGGGGAAAGGGGACATGCCTACCCTTACAGACAAAGACCGGGGCCGCTTCACTCTGATCATTTACGAGAACATCCTCAAATATGTCAACCTTGACGCCTGGAATCGAGAGCTGCTAGACAAATACTGTGTTGAGTACGGAGTGGGAATAATTGGTTTCTTCAAGGTAAGGTCCAATGCGCTAGACCTTTCAGTGGTCGCTCTTTGTGGACGCTGCAAGTGTCGAGTGAAGAAGCAGCTGGGTCCCTCACAACTTTAAATAAGACCATGGCAGTTAGGTTCCCGTTAAATCAATTGTGCGAGTTTCCAAGTGAAGTGCGTTCTCTTTGCCGCTGGGGTTAACTGCCAACAAAGAAAAATCATTGTGCATTTTATGTGAGATGTTTTTTTTTTAATTGTTCTGCCATACTAAACTGACTTGGAACCCATCTCCGAGCCATTTTAAGTAAAACCACATAAAGCAGTGTTAGATATTTGGTTGTATTCCGTGTCATGTTTTGTTTTCAAAGCTACAAAATATGAAAATTCAAAAACTGTAGAGGGCTGTCAGACTTGATCAGTCTTGCATCAGACTTCGACTTCTAAACCCCAATTATTTATAATTACTAAGGGGCAGGAGTTTAATTAGTCAGGAGAAAAAACAACTAATGTAGGCAAGAGGATTGCCTTTACCTCTGAGCAAATTGAGCAAGGGTGTAATTGCTTGCATTCCTAACATCTGACTCTTTTGGGGATTTAAATTAGAACATTTTTGAAACCCAAGATTGGGTTCAAGACTTGTGAGGGTTCTTCAGACAAGGGTTCTTGTGGTTTTTTTTTAACAGTATGCCCCTAATCTATAATTATTGTATGTTCTTTTTTATCTGGTCAGGGTTAGTTTAATCAAGTGTCATTTTGAGAAATCTGGGGAAGAAAAAACTCGTCCTGCTTCAGAAAGTATTGAAATGGCATCATGGCTTCACAGTGAAGATGTCTGGATCCTATTAAACACCTAAATTACTTTCACACTCCATTGATCCCTTTGCCAATTCCAGCTCCGTCAGTAGGTGATAATGGACCTAGAAGTATGTGGTAAAGCAAACCTGCTGGCTTTATTAGAACGACACTTGAATGTTTTGTGATTCCGGGTCTATTATCATACCAAGACTTTCAGATCAAGTTGGAATTCTCCATACGTTCGATGGTCTCATTCCTGTAAGAAGCACAAGCGATATTGCAGCCGGAAAGCTATTGCTAACCCTTTCACTTCAATTACACATGCAAGCATAAACATGTTTAAGCCTACTTGTCTTTGTCTTTGTTAGTCCGTATTCATACTCATGTGTAACTGGAATAAAATCCTCAACCCACCACTTCATTCGCTGCATAATTGCTTTCAGGCATTATAAAGAAACTAATGTTATGTGGCTGTTTGAATATGAGCCTTTGGCCAATTATATTCATATACAACAACTAGTGTCCCATCTTTATTCACACGTAGAGTCTGACTCCAAACATATCATTTCCATGATTGCCCTGACACTGTTTAGCAGTGAACGAAATAAAAGGAGTTGATGATGGACAATAGGAAAGTGTTTTGAAATTGTTTGCCTGCCAAGACAGTAAATGTATAGATGACAGTTTAAGGACTGCTGTTAACAGTGTCATTTTATGAATATATAAAAATAGCCATTTAATCCACTTGGTGTGGATGCATTTAACAGGGAGTATGCATTTCAAAGAAATCAGCTTTGGCTCATCTGAACATGTTTTGTTTAAAAAAACCAATACATGTGGTGATTCCTTTAGCCTTTCAGATGAAAATGAAGCCTTTTTCTTCAAGCTGAAAATATTAGTAGTTAATAATTGCTGGCATTTTTATCCAGAGGAATCCTCAAATACTTTCCACATAGGAGGGAACACTCTTCACATGTCACTGATGTGCAGCATCCACCTGGGTGACACATGACAGCCTTTATGCTCAGGCAGTCTCATTACACAGCAGATCTGGTTTAGAAGTGAGCAGTTCCTTCACAAATGGAATTAAGGGGATACATTTACATAGGTCAGGTTGTGCAAGGCCAAATTCGATTTTAACCAGGGCTCCCAGGTTAATGCCCCTACTCTTATCAACAGGGATGTGGGATCTTTAATGAGCAGTCACAGTCAAGATCAAAATTGAACATTTCATCAGAATAACTGCACTTCCTCCAGAATTTTATCTCTTTGCTGGGGCATTGACTTGGAAATCCCTGTCCTCTGGAAAATTTTCTCCAACTGATTCACCATCACCACATATAGCAGTAAACCTTTTCTTTAGAGGTCTCCCATCCCAATACTGTATTGCTGAGATGCAACCTTACTTAGGTCTTGAGATCTTTCAAGATTAGTCTATAGGGTGGTAATGCTGCAGTCCCCAATGTATAGGTTTGTAAAAAAATGTAAAAAGGGTATGAAAAAAATTATATACATTTAGTACAGTTCTCTCCACACACTGAAATATGGGGATCTGTTTTCCTGATTATATTGTTTCTTATACCACAGTGCTTCTCTGTGAAAAAAGATTTAAGTTTTATTATAAACAAATGGTTGATGCTGCAATCCATATGTAGTTTAACACTACAATGCACTTTTGTTGAAGTATACAAGACACTTGTTGTCCTGACTGCTTTATCAGCCCTTTTCCGTTAGCTGGTATGTTTTTGCCAAAAAGCTTTAAATGAACAGTATAAATCAACGCCTTTTGTCTACTTTCCACAAGACCAGCAATTCAATACTCAATTTTTTTCTAGCTTTTCCATTAGTATTTTGTAATGTAGTGTCTCTCTCATATGGACTTGTACATTTAGTTAGGGACTCTATGTATTTTCAGCAAATATTAGCCCATTTCAAAGACAAACAGTACTGTACTCTTTACAATGGACATTAAAGGCCTGTGCACTGTCATTCTTAACAATGAAGATTTAAATGCACTAAAACCTTTCCTCAATGAGCAGACTAAAAGCTTTCCAACACACTTCCTTTTGTGATTAGCTGAAGTAGTCCTCACATTGAATTACTTTTATTTTATCAACATTTTTACACTCAAGGGGTGTTGGCATGGGAACTAAAAGGGACTGGCGAATGCCTGCCATTTTTAGGATCTGTTGAAATACCTTTACTATACCTTAAATACATTGGTGAAATTTCTACAAACTCGTGTGAGGACCTGAATTACTTTGTTCAGTCACAAGCAAATTTCCACCACATAGAGCATTTTTGAAATGGGTATGGAAATATAATCTTCTTCCACATTTCTATCATCTTTAAGTTCCACAGTTAACACATCATCCAGTATATACAAACCTATTTACTCTCATTCTCATCCACAAAACAAATCTTTACACCCTTGAGAGACTCAAGACCGTTTACAAGGACTTCATTATTCTTAGCTTTTGAGCCTAATATGCAGCGATAACTGTTTCTAAACAAAAGTGAGGAGGAAAATGGGTTTTCTGAAGGAAATTGTTTTTACAGCTTAATCCAGTGAATCTTCCAAAGACGGATATAACACTTTAGCAAGCAGTGAGGAATTCAAGATAACAATTCCTCTAGTCCTCGATTACCAGCCCACCAACAGAAACACTTAGGAGACAATGCAAAGGAAAATTCTACAGCACAAAAAATATACAGCAGTGTTTTTTTAAACTTTTGCCTCTGTCATAGATTGTATAAGGGACTTATGTATAATCTATAAATGCTCAGCACTTTTTTTAAAAGGTACTTATTCATGTAATGGACCAGGATGCACCTGCAAAAACAACAATCCCTGTACAGATTTCAGAAGCCAACTTGTATGTGTACAGTATGTCTAAGGGAATAGTTTACTGCATTTGCTATTACAAAGGCAACCAACAATACTTTGGGGAAACTAAAAGACAATAAGCAGACCCCTTTTGAAAGCTTTGTATACCTTTCACAATTAACAGCGTTTCCAATTGCATGTCATTTCAGTAGCGATAATCAGAAGACATTGCCATCTGTGGAGTGTGTTAGTATGGAACAAAATACTACCCACAAACAGAAGGAATGAGATGTTCAAACTGGCAACTTTGAAATCTCTTGGAATAAACCTTCCATTAGTATTAGTATTCTGGTACAGTGGCAGCATCATCTTCAGAAGGTTTAAGCAACACTTTACACAATTATAGTATAGTGACGCGGACACTTTATTGTAAAAAGGCACCATCCTTCAGATAAGACTTTAAACTGTGGTCCTGACTCTGTGGTCATTAAAAATCCCGGGGCGTTTCTTGAAAATAGTAAGGGTGTAACCCCGACGTCATGACTAAAATTTCCCATTGGCGCTTACCAATCATGGCCTCCTAATAATCCCCATCTATGTATTGGCTTCATTACTCTGTTCTCCTCCCCGCTAACAGCTGATGTGTGGTGAGTGTACTGGCACACTATGGCTGCTGTCACATCCTCATTGGTCACATGCACATTGGTGGTGGTGGTGGAGAGGAGTCGCCATTACCTGTAAAGCGCTTTGAGTGGAATATCCAGAAAAGCGCTATATAAGTGTAAGCAATTATTAAATATTATTACTTTAAGTGCACTGTGATCGCATTTTTCTAGCAGAAAGATTACTTTTGTCTACAAACATCAGGAAAAATGATTTTGTAATCATTCAAACGTTCTGTGCAGCATAACAACTTACTTTCATCTTGCCTCTTATGGTGTGAATTGGTATTGTTAATATTAATAATTGGTATTAATTAAAGCAACAATGAAAATGTCTTTAAAGGTTGCTGTACATTCTATTTATTCACTTTAAGAAATATTTAGCTGGAAATTTAGAGCCTATCTGGAGAGATGCTTGTTAAGAACAAAGAACAAAAATGCACAATAAAAAGCTAATTGAATGGTTTCTAATTTTAAAAACCAAATTGCATTTTAAGTGAGCTTAACCAATTTCTGGATGATTTGGGAGTTTTAATTTTCTGGATAGAAAATGAAGAATTATTGAAATAAGTCTCATTTTTAAAATCCGAGTCGTTTAATTTGGAAACAACTTGGAAAATGAGCAGCGATATTGTTTGCTTTTCAATACAAATATATCAAAATAGATTTAAAACTATGCCTGTGGATAACAAATTCATAGTCATGGGCAAAAATGTACAGTTGACATTTTTTTGACTGAGATTAATGCCTATAATATGTGCCTTTGTAAGCAGTTTTATTCCAACTGTATGCCAGTGTTGACGCACACACCATTCTTTCATGCAGAGGTCTAGTATGTTTACTTTCGTATTAAAGAATAGTCTGTGTTATTGATACCCTGTTGTGCTCTAGAACAGTTTCCCAATCTTGGAGTACCAGGTCTCCTCTTGTTTTCATTACAACTGAACTTTTTTACTTTCAATTTATCTGCCTGCTTGTGTTTTGAAAACTGTTTCAGTTCTTTAAATAGTAGACTAAGGTTAGAAATTAGTGTGAAACCTCTGGGAGATGCTTTGTCTGCTGCCCTTACACTGTATTGTTTCAGTGACTAAAATTAACCAATGGGCTGAGAGTATGAGAATATTAAACAGTGTTATTCTCACCTGTATCTGCAAAACATAAATAAACAAAGCATTTTAGAAAGGTAGCAGAAGAAGGAAGAAGTGAGAGACAGAGTTCCACTTACTGTTTTGGAAGTGACACGCATAATGTATATTGTGAGGCTTTATCCCTAGTTTAGAAAACAATTAGAAATTAATGAGTTAGTTCAATTAAGTCAGTTCAGTAAGCTTAATTGATCAACATCTGAGTTGAAATGAAATCTAGAATTGAAGAGGACCAGGATTAGGAAATAATCTAGAGCAGTAATACTCTACTTGTTGCCCTCACAATCACCATTCCTTGCAGTCCTTTTGATATAACCATCTTATTACTTGTTATATTGATCTTGCTAATCATGAACTACATTTTTAAGGAGTTGGTTGTAGCAATGTCCTGCAATAGGGTGGACCAGAATGGCTAAAGAATTAGTAACCTTGCTCTTGAGGATTTAAACTAACAGCAGTAGAGAACAGACAACAAATGAAAATCTTCCGTAGAGTATAAATGAATCATTAGTTGACCCATATTCACTTTCTTCATCCAGTCCACCATCCAGTTAAACTTTTTTTCATGTAGCCCATTTATATTTTTTACAACTAGGAGGCTAAAAGAAAATCTATTATGGTATGCATGTGCATTTTATAAATTTCTCAGCCTTTTACGTAACTAGAACTGAAAGGTTTGTTACTGTGTGCATCATTTCAAGAACAAAGTGGGAGTGGATCTTTTGTATTTTGTAAGATTATTATGGTAGCAGGAACTTCATAAATACCAGTTTGGCAAATGTAAATGCCGTTTGAAATACTTATTCTTTTTTTATTGTTCTGCATTTTTACTTAGGCCAATGAGAACAGCTTGCTTAGTGCCCAGCTGAAGGGCTTCCCGCTTTTCCTGCACTCCAACCTGGGCCTGAAGGACTGCAGCGTGAACCCCAAGTCACCCCTTCTTTTCATCACTAAAGCCCACGAGGTGGAGCATGGCCTGCTGCCCGGTGATGACTGGACCATCTTCCAGTCCAACCATTCCACCTACGAGCCGGTGTTGCTGGCTAAAACCAAGTCCGCGGAGAGCATTCCCCAGCTGGGGGTGAGCGCTGCGCTCCACACCTCGGTGGTGCAGGACCTGGGGCTACACGATGGCATCCAGCGTGTCCTCTTCGGCAACAACCTCAACTTCTGGCTCCATAAGCTGGTCTTTGTCGACGCCGTGTCCTTCCTGACTGGCAAGCGGCTCTCTCTGTCCCTGGACCGCTACCTTCTGGTGGACATTGATGACATCTTTGTGGGCAAGGAGGGTACACGCATGAAAGTCCCAGATGTCAAGGTCTCTTGACTTTTTCCCTTCTTTTTTCTGGTGCCCTGTGGGAGTTGTGCTACTTTTTTGAAAGGCTTTAACACCGTGAGAAAAGATGTAGAGCCGCTTTCGTCTATAATCCGCAAGCACTCTGCTAAATCCTTAGAAACATTCGTCAGAGTGGGCAGCTATGCTGATACGCATTCTTAAGTTCAGCATTTTGTGCAGACTTTGATTTCACTTGCTGTTTTTTGGGCTATTAAAGTACAGTCAGAGGTTCTTAAATAAAGCCCTGTGTATTAAATATCTGAGTATTATAAATGTTCTTCCACAATACTACTTGATGGTCTTCTTTTCTAAATGGTAGAAAATTAAGTGACATAATGAAAAGATTCCTGAAACCAAAAAGCATATTCCTGGCATCTTTTGTTCCAATTGCCAGCAAAGTAGAAACACATTGCCAGCACACTAAATTGCACTACTTTTCAAAGTATGTAAGTGTTTTGGTGTGAGTCCATCACTTACTTTTAAATTGTTGCCGGGTAGGTACAAGAAATCTGAAAAACATTTTACCTTTTATGCTCTTCATACAAATGTGTACTTAATAGTACAGAGATACTGTTGATCAGCCTGTGCCCTCCTTGAATTTCTGGCAGCTTTATTATTTTTGAAACTTCTCCAGTAATGTCTGAAGCTGACAGAGAGGATAATAACATTGTACAATGATAGTTCAAGCAGGTCGCTGCGTCAGCATGCGTAGGCTGCAAAGGCACAAGTAAAGGTTTATTCCATGCTGAAAAGAGAAGAAAGGAAACGCACATGAAGAAGGCTCCACAGCGGAAACGTGTTCCTTTCTTCTCTTTTCAGCACGGAATAAACCTATTACTTGTTCTTTTGCATTGTACAAAGATGTTCATAAACTTAGATGTGGTGTGAAAAAAGCACAGCATTGTTTTCATAATCATTCATCTTTATTTTTAACACCCAGATATAAGTATTCAGGAAAGGAAAGAAGACAGGTTTTAAAAATCAAAGTGGTGCTTTTGACAGCTAATTGTTCTCATTGTTATATGTAAGTCACATCTTGACAAGATAGAAATGAAATATGCTTTAGATGGCAGGTTTTGCAAGTATTCTCATTGACATCAAAGAAAACAAACAAGAAAAGCTGAATTCAGAGCCTATATAACGTATTGATCTTATTTAATAATGTCTGCTGTCATTATTTGCAATGGGGGAATATGTTTTTCTTGTTTTAAAGAAAACAAAGAAAAAGATTGCACATTTTGTTGCAGCTCTTAGTAACAGTGGACTAAATGTAACCTTTCAAATCTTATGTTTTGTACTTTACAGGCTCTGCTGGAGACACAGAATGAGCTTCGCACCTATGTTCCTAATTTTACTTTCAATCTAGGCTTCTCAGGGAAGTTTTTTCACACAGGTAATTCACTGAGGTGGTAGCTTGTGACAAAAGCTAGAATGAAATGTAATTAGTTATTTGGCTTTTCCCAAATAAGTGTGTAAATCAGTTTGAAGAGCATTTTAACCCACTTGCACAGATACAAGTTCAGCTTCGATATGTGTGGCTTACTTTAAGTGACTTACTTAAAAGGTTGTCTTCTGAAGGAGATTTTACAGTTCTGGGCAGAATTTTATAATTCATCTCACTTAGATGGATTGCAATGAAGAGTATAAATATGCTAAAAGCAGAATATGTGGCATATCCAATTGTGCCTGAAATTTAAGACTTTCTGTGAGCTGCAGTTAGGACTGTGACAGTGTGGCAGATCTGTACTGCTTATTGTATTATGCTTATCGAATGCATATGGGGGCGTGATGAATTGTAAGACGATCTACAGCAAGGGAGGTGTTGTGGGGGGGGATAACTTATATCCAAAGCTTAATTGAAATTTTCTGAAGTAGGCCTAACTAAGACGTATCTTGTGTGGCTTCGTGGTCTCATTCATCTGCTTTGTCCCGTCAATGTGTTCAAAGGTACAGACGAGGAGGACAAGGGGGACGACCTCTTACTGTCGTATGTAAAGGAGTTCTGGTGGTTTCCCCACATGTGGAGTCACATGCAGCCACATCTCTTCCATAACCAGACAGTATTGGCTGAACAGATGATCCTCAACAAGAAGTTTGCCACTGTAAGTCTGGTACCGGAGAGCTTCAGAAATGCCTTGTAACTCTTCTGCTGCATGTGCTTTGAAATGAAAATCCTGCTCGCAGATCTGTGGGAAACCTGTGTATCCCTGCATGATACGTGGAATATTAAACAGAAGTTTACCGAGTTGTCTCTTGCAACATCAAAGCTGGAATAAAGATGACGTATTGATTTAAAAAAAATACATGACACTAAAACCCACAAAATTCTTGCGTATAGTTTACCGTGGCTGTAGATAGGCTATATATCTCTCCTGGCAAAGTACTAAAAAGTCACTGTATAACAAGAAATCGTATCAAGTAATACTTTTCAAGAAGCAAAGACTTTGCTATCTTCAAATCAGAACACTAAAATACCTTTTCTTGTCTCCACTGAGTATATAATAACAAAGGCGAAACCTAGATCATTTTATCCTTTTAAGAGTTCTACAGTTATGCGAGATCTTGTTACTGTTCTAAACAACAGGAGATCTTTAGTATTTTAGAATTAAAATTAAGGTTTAAATTGTCTAAAAAATATCAAGATAAATTAGTGCATTTCCTGGGTGTTCATTCAGAAACAGTAGGTTAGTCTTTTTTTCTTAATCGTAATGAAGACAGTAAAGGGTGAAACGAGGAAAATTAAAAATGTGAATAAAACGTATGATTTCCTTTGGCACCAAAGTGTACAATGTAATATAATGCACCCTTCCATTGATGAAGTTCATCTCCACATGATGTGTTTTAACAGTGTAGTTTTATCCGTGGAAGACTGTAACTAAGCATTTTATTTCTTTCAGGAGCATGGCATCCCCACCAATATGGGCTATGCAGTAGCCCCCCATCATTCTGGAGTGTATCCCGTGCACGTGCAGCTCTACGAAGCCTGGAAGAAAGTGTGGGGAATCAAGGTGACCAGCACAGAGGAGTATCCCCATCTGAAGCCTGCTCGCTTCCGCCGGGGCTTCACTCACAGCGGCATCAGTGTAAGTGCCAATCTGCCACTCTGATGCCCTATCACTGCTGTGTACACAAGTGGGCCTGCTATGCCCAGAGCAGTCGGGCTGAAGGTTACTATGCAAACTGGGCCAAGTTTCATTTTTGGTCTATTGAGCTGTTAGTAGAGCAAGTACCACATTTTTTTTCCCCGCTAAGTATTTGGATTGATAGTGCAGAATAATTTCGCAATTATAATTTTAAATCAATAGAATAGAGATTAAAATCTCAAAAAGGATGATTCCACTTTTCTAATAAATGTAGCTTTCACATTTCAAAGAAATGCAACTTCTGTCTCTGAACTCAAAACAAACTACCAAAAGGAACCTTCATATAAAGGATATAAAGGATCTACTAAAGATGCTAGAGGCTTGTAAAAGGAATGAATCTTTAAAAGACTGAGTAAAATGTATTTTTGTCTAATTATGGGAACTTTCTTGGGATGTCTTTTTATTGTGTTCTGAAGAGCTGGACTGTTTAAGTACAGTTTGTTTGGCTGCTTAGTAGGCAGAGAAAGTTTTCACTGTTTAAATTGATTTTCAAGGAGAGTATATTTTCTCTTCTGCAAATTACACAGTTACAGCTATAATTATACTCTTAAATTGTACTTGCTGCTAAATGGTTTATTTCTAACATAATACTGCTTCTCTATATGTTTCTATTGTACCCATTGAACAAAGCACACTTTGTAACAAAGCAAATAACCCAGTTTGTTGCAAAGCTCTGGTATTTCATAGTTATTTCTTACAGGTATTGTATTATTCATGCTTCTGTTTATATCTTTTAAATAAATTGTGCTGTGTACAAATTGGATGAAAACTCACTGTGGATATTGGTCTCCCTGGCAAACTAGTAATTGGGTGTACATAGAGCCACATTTAGAATGCACTTACCACAATACTAGTTCTATTCTGAAACTTCACTTTAACAATAAAAACTTCATATGAATAGGTTACTTAAGAGTTCCTACATGTACATTAGTTGAGATTTTAAAGGTATATTAATATTTTTTTCATATTTTTACCTTTTGAGTAAAATAATGGAGCAAAAAATTGTTTGCGTTTTGAAAAATGGCCTTTAGTACAATTTATCATTATTTATTATTTTGACATTTGAAGTTCTTGGCACAAGACTGATAGCGTCATCTGAAAAACCTACAGCAACCTTGACACTTCACAGTGAATTATTCTCATTGAAAGTCTGAATCCGTAACTTAGTGTTAAAGTCTCCAAGGTTTTTAGATCGATTTCTCTGCCCTTATTCAGCATTTCGGTGCTCTCCTTTCACTTTGCCATGTAAAGTTTTAAATATTCTTACCTCTTTCAAAAAGCTTACAGTATGTGCATACCATGTTTTCCTTTCAGTTAACTGTTTCACTTTACCCATTCCATACCAATGTACTAGACAATATTGAGGGTAAAAAGATTGAATTAGGAATTTAGACTTTGTACCTGATTTGTTTTGCAAACTTTTGTGTATACTTTTTGTGCCAAAGGGTATACTGCAGTCCATGTGTTGTGGGAGGTGATTTAGTAAGGAGTTGAAGCTGAGTGGCTTTGTTGCTCATCTTTTATTCTGGCTTTCAAATGTACCTTTATAGGTAAATAGACAGTTGGTACTCGTGGTGCATTAATCTGTTACTTTTAGTAGATTGTTTTTTTTTAAGAACTGCTACAGTCCAAGGACTAAGTACAATTTTTATGTTGAACTGAGTCTGTGATTTAAACCAACTGTTGCGCAAAAGTTGTTTTATATAAATATGCTTTTACTGTGGAATTCAATGTGTTATTTAAAATATAATTTCCTTGGTTGTGGCCTATACGGTAGATGCTATTACTTAGTTAAATAAGTACTACAGGCGAGGGTGTTGCATGTGCTGATGTAAGGTAGTACTATACCGATTTTGTCTTCCATCTGTAGGTTCTACCAAGGCAGACCTGTGGGTTGTTCACACATACCATCTTCTACAATGAATACCCAGGGAGTCCCAAGGAACTAGATAAAATGATTAATGGGGGGGAACTCTTCCTCACTGTCCTATTGAACCCAGTAAGTGACACAGACAGGAAACAAATCGACATTTATACCATTGAGGCATCAAACGGCACCAGTTAGTTTTCAGTTTTTTTGTTTCTAAAATAAAATATACTTGTCAGGTTTTTAACAAAAATGACTTGTTTTAAAGGTATACCAGTTGACTTGAAAATAATTAGGTGCATCTCAAATTTGTATAACGTTTTTCACGTTAGTACATTTTTTCTAATGAACTCTAATTTCTGAGCTCTTCTCATGGCTAAGTCTAGTATTCTGTCATAACATCCATAAATATAAAAACTATTGCATTCATGCTCTATTTTATCTATTAAATGTTTTCTTTTTTTTATTGAGGACTTTTATATGTTTTAAAATCTGTTGTATGCACAAAGCCTGAACTGTCATGAACTTTTGAACAAAAAAAACAAACTTAACCAACAAGATAATTTAAATCAATTGTGTCCATATATTTTTGAATTTATAAACAATTTAGAAGAATTATAAAAGACATGTAACTATAAAGAAAAAATCTGGCCTTTATAAAATGCTATGGTGAATAACTGTTTTTCCTTTCAGATTAGCATTTTCATGACCCACCTGTCTAACTATGGGAATGACCGGTTAGGACTTTACACCTTCAAAAACCTCATCAAGTTTATCCAGTCCTGGACCAACTTGAAGCTGCAGACCCTGCCCCCCATTCAGCTGGCCCAGCGCTATTTCCAGATCTTCCCTGAGGAGAAAGACCCTGTCTGGCAGGTAAGCGTTCACACTGAATGATGAGTTTCCTCCCAGTGAATACAGATTACACAGACATAAAAAGCTGAAACTGTTGATATGAAGTGAATGAGCTCTTTTAACTGAAGAGCATCTACTGCAGTATGTACCATTTAACCCCTGATACAAGTAGGAGTGTAGCCCGGTCTAAATTGCAATAAAACATAAGGCAATCTGCTTTAAAGCTGCCTTCAATTCAGCAGCTTTAAATTTTGAAATGGAGAACTGCTGAGATTGATACTTGAATAGTTACGACTGTGCACTTAACAGCTCGAATAGTTACTCACCCATTAAAAAGTTTTCCATAGTTTTTTTATTACACTGTTACGTGAAGGTTGACAGGGGTTTTCCCTGTAATGAGGTGGGAGCTTTGGGTGCCAAACTGGAGGAGGTCTGCATATATTTCATGCTTTTCACAGTCTGTTTTAGTTCATAAATGGAGCTGCCCTGACTACATTTATACAAATAATTCAAAGGATCTGTTGCCTTGTAGCTCTAATTAGTGACACTCTTTTTTGAGTTTGTTCTCTGCTTATTGAATCTTATTATAGTATAATAAATCATTTACATGTTTCATTTGAGCGGGAAGAATATCTTTCTTCAGACGAAAAAGGTATTTTTACTTAAGGGCATGTTGGTAGTTGAGTCCTCAAATCTTGAGACTGAATTGACAGGTACTGCCTTGGGTCACTAGTCAACACAGTCAACATGGTGTGAGTGTGAGCCATAAGTCCTTGATATAAAAAATGTGAGTGTCAGAGATTGGGGGAAATTATTTATGAACAGAAATCTCCGTGATGACAGTAATAAAATGTAGGTGTCTGTTTGTTTGTTGGGTCAGAAAGTAATGAAATTGCTGGACACCTCTTTATTGCTAGATCTGGGAAGTTGTCTTTTTAAAAAGAGGTTTAAATAAGAGTATTACAATAAAAAACATAAATATTTTTTTTCCTTTTTGTTTCACTACCCATGTGTATTGTAAGACATTTCAAAACTGAATTACAATGTAAAGAAGCGTGTTAGAGCTCATACATTTTTTCCTCATTGCCAGGTTGTACTTTTTTTCTATGTGTAATACTTCCCCTTATAAATAATAAAATATTAACATTTTAAATAAGTTATTTGGGTAGCCTGTATTTTTCTGAAACCACATTAATATAAATGTGATGTGTTTGCGTATTTGAATATAGTTTTGATTTAAAGATAAATCAACCTCTTGAAATTATCCGTGTTGTTAACAATTGATAGTGTGCACAGGGAATGGGTGTAGAATAGAAAAATCACATAATACTTAATGTATAAAACTCCGAAGACTTTTCTAATATATGTCTATATAGTTGTTGTTTTTTTCTTGGATCTTCCTTCAGTGTCACAAATTGTTTTTGGAAAGTAAAATACATCAGACATCAGAGTCTTGTGCGTTTGTGAGTCCAAGTTCAAGTCGCCAGAAGTTCCTAGAGCCCCGAATTTAGTCCAAGGCTTATCCTTTTATCAGTGTTAATTCATGATACCAGTCTTTCAGTTACGTAATGTATTTATTTGAGTTTTGTCTGTTTTAATCAGTCTATTCAGATGGGAATCTTTTTCTTAGTTTTTTAGTCAATAGCAAGATCTTTCCTTCATGCCAGAAAACCTCATCAAGTTACTATTGCATAGCAGCGATGAACTGTGCTTCAGTGGCTTTTCTTTTTTTAAACATTCCAGAAGATAACATACTAAAATGTTGTTCTGTGTCCGTGACACAGAGGTTGCAAACAAAATTGCCAGTGACCTGGCCAGCAGAATACCACTCAGTCAAGCTTTGATGGTAGCCATTGCTGGAGAAAAACATACTGATAGTTTAGAGAACTGAAATCCATCAGTAATGTGCAATTTTAAAAGCTGCATAGACAAGTTTCTAAAACTTCTCTACTTCTTAAAAGTAGAGAAGAGTGTTATTTACCTCTTTTATTGAGACTAGTTTTTTAAATGCCTGAATTCCAATTAATAAATTAATAACTCTCCACAAAACATAGGGTGATTTTCCTCATTTTCCACTGGCTTGGATTAGAGTATGCTGGATACTATATGACTACATCCTTGGCTGTTGCAGTCCTGTCTTTTGGCAAACAGGATCAAATCTTGTCTCTACTGGTGCAAGCGCTCTATTGTCTCTGACCTCCCACTGCTCTGTTTCTTTTTTCTCCATCTGTCCAGTGTCCTGTAATAATCATTACCTGACAAGGCCTGTAATTGTTTTCTAAGCTGCAAGCTTTCTTGGGGGGGGCAGAAGGAACTGCCTCATTACTTTTTTCTATCTTCGTTTGACTAGAAACTAAGTAGCTTTTATTTTTTGTAGTTTTAGCATCTGGAGGATTTTTTGTCTTCCACTTTGTGTAGAAATATTTGGAATAAGATTTTATTTTATTTTTTTATCTTTTTGCCATACAAGAAGACTTTTTACTATACCAATCACTTTTGGATAGCACTGAATTTCACATTGTAGAAATATGAGTTTGTTAGGTTCACTTATCACAGGTTTGATAAGGATTCACTTTAAAGGATTATATAATATAAGCTAATTGTTATCCCAGTATAATAAGTTTCATAATATGTTGACCCCTGTACAGTTTAACAGTAGATCGATGGTACTGTGCCTAATTCATTAGAGAATTAGAAGTGAAATCCTATAATTGTTTTCAGCATGTGTCTTATCCAGTAAATACAAAATACCAAGTACTTGGTAGAAATGAATAACACCAGATAAAAATTACATGGAAGACTGAATAGTGCAGGTAATTTTCACTCAGAGGTTTCAGTAGTTAGCATTCGGGTGATGATTTTTTAAAAATCTGTGATGGTAACGAGTGACACACTTAGCCTGGAACTAGGACTAAAAAACAATCACTGATATATACTATACTACATATATGAGAAACAGAATTTTAGCACTTTGAAGTTGACACTTTCATTCTGTAGTAAATCACTGCAGTATTATGCCTAAAAGACTACATCTCCTGTATTACACAAGGCTTTTCACCAAGTGAACATTAATGAAGTTACATTATTTTGTCTGATTAAGGTGTTCTGGGAGATTACGTGATAAAATAACCAGTCTTGACAGAGTGCACTATTACTGGGGTAGGATTTTGCTCCAAGTGTTCTTTCTATTAAACATCGTTTTGCATTAGCAAAAGAATGTCTCTGATAAAAGTGTTTAAAACTCAAATACAGAACTAAAATGGTATTTATTATAACCAATTTGCATACCAATTACATGCTAGATAGATTTTACTGGAGCCATGTGATGTTAACAGCAGCACTGTCAAAAAGGTGAATGTATGTATTAAAAAGTGACCTTTTACAAAAGGGTCAAATCTCTTTGTTCATTTCTTATGGCATTTCCTCTGAAAACAAGACTGGCGCTGACAACTTTTTTTCAACTAGGATATAATTGTCGTTTGCGTTCATTACCAGTAATCATTTGTTTTTTACAATTGGCAACTTGAAAACTACAGTTACCCAGGGCAATTCAGTGATATCTGCTCGGCAGGTCAACCTGCTATCAAACTGTCCACTGATCCAGTGGTAATATTTATAGCTTTAGTATCTTTGTGAGGCTTTATGTGTTGATATTGAACCTCTGCATTAGGTTGTGAGAGGCATAAGCTGTACTTTTGCTCAAAAGCTGTGACTGCTCTTGTCTTTTACATGGGCTTTTTTACTTTGTCTTTCAGGACCCTTGTGAAGACAAGAGGCACAAAGATATCTGGTCTAAAGAGAAAACATGTGACAGGTTTCCTAAACTGCTTATCATTGGGCCACAGAAGACTGGTAAGACACAGAACATCTCCTGTGCAAGCTGAGCACAACTTTTATAAATAGCTGGCTGTCTTGAAGATTAAAGATTTATTACTTAAGTAATTTATTAAACACCAGCGACTCATTCCTACCTTCACAGCAATTGGGGCAATCCATACCCTTATTAGTGCAGTGGTCTTCTGGTTATCATTCTATCCAAGCACTTAATTGCCTAATGCAATTAATTATTTTCTTAGCTTGGCAAGTTTAAGGTTTTTCTGCACTCCTAAGCTCTTGGTAATTTGAAGAGTCATGTAAATCCAGCTGGACAGCAACTCCTGAGGACTGGTCTGCTGAACTTCTGCATTACTCCTTACCTTGGTTGGTTATTATTCAGTGACTTTTCAAAATGTCCACAATCCCACAGCTTGTTACAGAATTAATAGGTTGATGGAAAATATTAAGTATCTAGTATGAACAACTAGTTACAGAAGTGCTGAAAACAGTGAGCGGCTTTTTCTGTTTTGATTTGATACAGTAAACATGTAAGACGAGTTGAATACTAATTAAACTGATTGTAGCAGTCTTACTGCACTATTTTCAACTGAAAAAATCAGGCATAATTTTAATAAAAACAGTTTGTTACTGATTAAAGAAGCTTTGTGCATGAGGGTCATGATTCTGTTAAAAAATAGTGTTCAGTTCTTCACATTCTTGTAGCTACCATCATCTCCTTACTTTTCTTCTGTTTTTGTTAGAACTATTATTACTACGGCTGCTTCTATGTATTTGTGTAATGTTGTGGAATTTTGTAACATTCAGTTTAGTGCTTTAAGTCTTCAATTACAGTGCCTTAACAAGGGGAGCTAATATTTGAACCTAGGCATTCAAACTGGCACATCAATACAGGGTGTGATTATGAGGAATGTTCCCTGAAAACTCATCTCTTAACAAATCTTTAAAAATGTGCAATTATGTGTGTTCTGAAAACAGTTCTGCATGCTATTATCAGTGAAAACTGTTGTTTGGTATAATTTGCTGCATTCCTTCTTTATGTGTGGACTTCTGATGTATTCAGAAAGTTATTATCTTTTTATTAAGGTACCACAGCACTCTATCTCTTCTTGGGTATGCATCCAGATCTCACCAGTAACTACCCAAGCAAAGAAACTTTCGAAGAGATCCAGTTCTTTAATGGGCACAACTACCACAAGGGAATAGACTGGTAATGTCTCAATACTGACGATGACTAATGACTATGGTGTAAAGAAGCAAATTAATTAAATCAATCATACTTTCCATACCTCACAATTAACCTTTTTTGTTGTATTTCACCATTTACTTATTGAGGTTTTGTTACAGTTTTCTCTCTGGGTTTTGTTTTTAAAGCTGTTTTATTACAGATGCATATCATTTAATGTAATGTCTAAATATATAACGTAAAGTTATCTTATCTTAAACTTATCCCAAAACAAAAACCTTCACCCACTTTGAATAACCGTAACATATAAGTGAAACACTGTACTGATATGAAATAACTGTACATGAAAAATATCGTTTTAACTCCCCACTAAAGAAATGTTCCCCAAAACACTACACTGTAGTTTGACAGTTTGACAGAGCATGCATCTCTATCTACTATTCTGCCAGCTCTTCAGAGAGGTGGAGATATAAAATTGTCATGAAACCATTAAAATAAATACCATTACTAAAGCCGGTCTGTTAGATATGATGTCACTTTAACATAACCAGGGTGTGCCTGTGATTTTTGTTCTTCATAGTGCACAATCAGGATCAGGTCTTTTTTTATTCATTTTTATTATGGATGCTAAATAATATTGAGTGTTAAAAAATAAAAACTGAAAACAGTTCAGTTGTATGTTTGAACTATTTAATTATAATATGAATTATGCCTAATTGTTTGTATTTTGCATTCCAATCACGTAACACAGAAATGTCTTGTTTCAGCTTCACACCAAAAACGTTTAAATATATGTATACTGTACATCTCAATGCAGTAATGGATTCTTTTAAAAATATTAAATGAGAATATGATCACATTTGTACAGGCTTACTGTAATCATTATAACAGTGTTGTAAAATCTAAATTATAATTAGATTTATAATCTAACCTCATGATTTTAAATGTTTGATTTGCTTCACTGAGCAGAATAATTTTACTGTGCTGACAAATTTTATCTGTGCAGTTCAGGACCTTCCATTTAGTAAATATTTAAAGTAACTAAAATACATCCAATCATTGGAAGGTTATTCTTCTAACATCAAGAGGTTATGCCATGTGCATCAGTGTCAGCAGCAAATGGTTCATTAATTTTAAGAACACACATTTCTTCTTGTAATTAAATTTCTAGTAAGGTGTTTAGGTTTAACGATATTTGTTAAAAATGTGAACACATGTTACAAATAAGAGGAGGACATTCTGCCCGTCTACCTCATTTTGTTGCTAGTAGCTAATTCACTGTGGCCTGCTAATTCGTTCAGCTGTTTCTTTAAAGAACATGAGTATCGGCTGTGACAACATGAGTGGGTAGCTTGTTCCAGACTCTCACAACAATTTTTGTAAAGTACCTCCTGTTCTCACTTCTAAATGTGCTTCCCCATAGTTTCCACTTATATCCCCTGGTTCATATTTCACTGTTGATTCTGAGAAAGCCCATTGGTTGATTATGTAAGTGCTTTTGAGGGTTTTAAACACTTGAATCTGGTACTCTTGTATTCTCCTCTGTTCAAGGCTAAAAAATACCACTTCTTTTAGCCTTATGTACGGGACTGTATCTGGTCATTCTTCATTGGACTGTTTTCAAGAGTAGTATTTTATTTGGAAGATGCCAACCAGAATCGTACACAGTATTCTAAATGAGGTCTTGATAGTTGATTGTCCCGTGGTGGGGTGTATTGACCAGGCTGATGGCCTCAGGGAATGAACTAGTAAATAATTCACTTGTTAAATGTCTGAACATTATCAACAACTGGATCTTCATTTACCTTTGTAAGGAGCCTGAATACTATTTGGAATTATCACTGGTATGTGTTTTATGTCATGACTCATGGCTACAAACACCACCACTTCACAGAGGACAGATTTAGGAAGTACGGAATGATTTCTCTGGAATTCCCACCTTCAAGTTACTTGGTTTTTAAAGCATTACAGTCAACCCCATACTGTAGATTCAGGCCAATTCGGACAGGAGGAGGGGTGTGTCCCTCACCGACAGCACAGCATTTTGTGTAGATGTAAAACAGAAGAAAATGTCCCTCTGTATGCTGTGCTGGATGCATCTGTTGCATCTGTTTGGATGTAGTTATCTCCAAGGGAGAGGAATGCTTCCCCAGAAATGTAAATTAGCTTGTGGTAGGAAGGTCTGAGTTGATTAAATGTAATTTCAGATGAAAGAGCTTTAGTGTAGTGCAGGTGTGGGCTAGATTTAGACATGTTTATAAAGCTTTTCCTGTATGATGAATAATTACAGACTGAGTCTAAAGTTTTTTTTGTGGCTTATATTTCTAGTACAGTGGTCTTGTTTAGCCACTTTGTGTGCCAAACACCCGATCCTGCACTCTTAACCTTTCATAGCCAGGGTCTGCCATGGCAGACCTTTGTGATATTTATTTGTAGTATTGATATGCTGTGCACATGGTACAACTCCTTAAACGTTTTCATAATTTCAAACATGTGAACTCTTCATGCTCTATAACATGGCCATTCCCACAAAACCTGACTTTTTTAACAGGAGTTAGAAGGAAGAAAATCAATTACCAAACAAGTTACATAACGGAAAGTAATCTCTTCTTTTTCCATTTTTATGCTGCTAGGTATATGGAATATTTCCCCCTTCCTTCAAACACCAGTTCAGATTTCTACTTTGAAAAAAGTGCCAATTATTTTGACTCGGAGATGGCACCAAAGAGGGCAGCTGCTCTCCTCCCTAAGGCCAAGATAATCACAATACTCATCAACCCTGCAGACAGAGCCTATTCCTGGTACCAGGTAAAACCCTCTCGAAGCCATAAAGACGTGGTCAGTTACTGTGAATGTAATGAATGCATTATTGTCATGGGGTGGAACTTCTTATTTAACTTAAATCGGAGATAAATGTAAAATTGCAAAAGTTGTTGAATAAGTGAAATGTCAATGGCAGACAGTTGCTAGTGTGTGTATGTGTTTCATACTGCAGTTCTATATTAATCCCAGTGTAAGAACCACCATCATGAGTGAATTTCATACCTGCAAAATCTGACAGATCAAGTCAATGGGGGTGGCACAGTGGTGCAGTGGCTACCATAGTGCTGGGCCCCTGAGTTCAATTCCAGACCTGGTGTGCTACCTGCAGGGAGTTTGTGTGTTCATATGGGTTCCTTCCCACAGTCCAAAGACATTAAAGTAGGTTAATTGGCTTCTGGGGGAAAATTGTTTTACATGTCTGTGTTTGGGCCTCTTCCTTGCTGTGGCTCCAGCCCTGAATTGGAGGAAGCAATTAGAAAATGGATGTAAGGATCAAGCCAAAGGAAACTTGGTAAATATGCAGGAAAATACTTCATCTGCAGGGATGTGCTGCGTTTTTTTCCATTCATTGCTCTGCTGGGGGTTCGGCTATCCCTGGTAGCCCACCACACTCTTTCCCTTTGCTAGGGCTGTCCAGCTCGCACTTAAATGTTCTGTATTCCTTTCTGTCTGCAGCACCAGCGCGCCCATGATGATCCTGTAGCACTGAAGTACACGTTTCATGAGGTGATCACTGCTGGGCACGATGCCCCCCTCAAACTCCGCATCTTGCAGAATCGCTGCTTGGTACCAGGCTGGTATTCCATCCACCTTGAGCGCTGGTTAAACTATTACCACTCTAACCAGGTACGTGTTAGTACTCTACGATGCAGGAGTTATAGTTTTAATTTAAAGTTTAGGTAGATTCACCACTCACTAGTGTTACTAGTGCCTTGTAAAATTTTAACATTTCTTATCTGCTTAACTGTTTTTTTAACAGATTACATTTTGTGTCTTGAGACCAGAGCTGAAATGTGCTTATTATAACAAAAGACTAAAAGTCTTCACTATAAAAGCTGTCGCAGTTTCTATTTGGTATTTTGATGGAATACTCCAAACTGACCTACAGACTCGTTGGTTATTTGGGTCCATATATCTTCTTCGTAATGTAAATATATATATTTTTAAATGATGGAAGCTAAAAACAAAACAAAAAAAAAAGGACTTTTACTTTACCTTGGCAGTAAGCAGCTTCACACTAGTTGTTGAAGTAATATGATTGGGTTATTTCAGTTCATGAGGAAGTGTTTTTGTTTTTCTAGATCCTGGTTCTTGATGGACAGATGTTGAGGACTGAGCCAGCGTTAGTTATGGAAAAAATACAGAAATTTCTTGGGCTAGTGAATATTATTAATTACCACAAAATTCTGGCGTAAGTAGCTATATGTCTCGGGAAATTTCATGTTTGTTTAAAAAAATAAGTTTATATCTTATTATAAACTAATAAGATATAACTACCATTAGCGCCACTGCAGGGTTAAGAAATGTATTATTGTAATAATGTTCCTAGTGTAGTACAAAGGATTTCCCTTAGATCCTGTATGAATCAGCATTTTCACATACCATTCCAGCACAAAATTTCAATAAAGACTTACTGCCTTTCTGTTTTAAGAAGGCTCCATAGTATGATTAGGAGTGTCTTCCTAGTTATATTTTGTTGATAAATGCATTGGCAATCCTTCACATAAAGTCAGTTCCTGGGGGCATTAACCAAACGTTTATTCTGGCTACAATAATAATGTAGCATTTGTATTTTTTAATCCCATTTTGGCAGGAATTTTTTTTGATGAACTAAACACCACAAAGTGCAAAGCTGGAGTTTTTCTTTTTGCCAAAATGATAACAGACATTTTAACTTAAATATTTAACAGTGACACATTAGTTTCATCGACATCCCTGAGGATTTTAACTGGGTAAAAACACTTAATTTCTTTTGTAGTCTGGTTGTTTTCCTTCTTGTTTTGTGAGCAGCAACCTTCCATGAAAGGTTTAACTTCTGAGTTAAACCATGCCTTTACAATACAAGAACATCTGCTAAAATGCAATTAAAATCTGCCTTTCATACCTTCAATCCCTGCTAAATCCAGTTTTTAAGGAAATCATATCTGACAGCATTTCCAGGTTGCTTTTTACATTTATTTAGTTTTGTGTTTAGGTTTGATCCCAAGAAAGGATTTTGGTGTCAACTTCTAGAAGGAGGAAAGACAAAATGTCTTGGAAAGAGCAAAGGAAGAAAGTACCCTGAGATGGACACTGATGTACGTGTGCGTTTCTGTTTATATTCCTGTAACAGCTGAGCTCTTTTAAAGCAAACCATATTGGTGCAGAGATTCTTTAAACCAGCAGGTGTGATCTAAGGGATTTTAAACATGGTATCTAGTATACTGCACACACAAATTGAAACATGTTTATATTAAAAAATTTAGAAAAGTGAACAACCCATCATTTATCTTCAATGCATATTTCACCTGAGTCTTTTTTAGAAAATATTTTGATAAAAGCAAAATAAGAAACAGAATACAGAAATATGGAACTTGAAGTTTTTCCTGAATCTTTGATGTAGTACATCAATTCATTTTTTACCCTTGGGCAGAAACTCATGGTGCAGTGTTAGATTTGTATTCTTTTTCTGGCAATACGTTTTCAGAACTTTTCTCAGAAGATGGTGTTATTGGATTAGTTCAGTGTCTTGGGACATAATCTAAAAAAAAACCACAATGAGTAACATTTACAAAGACTACAAAGCATATGGATAAGGATGATGTGAACTGATACGCTGAACTAATACGTGTCAGTCTGCGAAGCAGAGAGATCACATTTTATAAATGAAATGTGGAATCGATAATTTTTTGTGTCAAATACAAACGCAGTTTGTAAGTCGCTAATTATTTTCTGGTCATATACACCAATTTTTAGAATTAAATGGTATTTGAGAATGAGGACTTGCATTGAGTAGTGATCATCTGAGGCAGCACCCTGTGACAGAGAACTGGAGGAGAAGCATGTCTCTTCTGATTTGTCAGAAGACACAGCAGCTGCTGTGTCACCACAAGCAGACGGGACTTATTTCCTACCTAACATCCGAGCTACCCAGTGGTGGTCTGCGAATTAACTACCGCTGCTTGAGGAACTCCAGTCAAGTCAGCTCGGATCTAGGCTCAAACTGGTGACATCATCAGAAATTCAATTAACTTTTTAAAACAAAGGGAGGTAAACGTGAAGACTAAAAAGATAACTGAAAAATTGCACATCCAAAAAAGAGTCCAGCTAAAAGCCAAAAGAATCACCATATATCAATGCATAAAGTAGCAATGCACATTTAACAGTCAACAACTATTCAAGGGGATTCAGTTAGTTTTGTCTTTATCAATATGATTTGATATGAATTTCTGTTTTGTAAAGCTTTTCCATTATTGAATTTTCATCTTAATGCAAATCTTCTAGCACAATCTTTGAGAACAAAGATAAGCTCATCCAGAAGAAAGCTATTGTGTTGTTTTAGGTATCCCAGGTAAACATTGTTTTCTAAAACTCAGGTTTAAGTCCCATATTATAACTGTATCTGAAACAGGTTGCATAAAGCCCTCCTCTCTTAACGCACCCAGTGTTACAGTCTTTATGCAATAGCTCAGAATTTACAGTATATTTAGTCACTAAAACCACCACTTTTCACTGATAAAGTGCCATCACTTTAGTGCATATTTCAGCTGCAGCTTGAATGTTAAGTTGTTACACAAAAGTAAGTTGCTTAATTTTTACATTACTCCATTTTTTCTTTCCCCCAGTCTCGAGATTTCCTGCGAAACTACTACCAGGAGCACAATGTTGAGCTATCAAAGCTGCTGTACAAGATGGGACAGTCTCTGCCCAGCTGGCTTCGAGAGGAGCTGGTGAACACCAGGTAGCAAGGATGGTGACAGAAGCTCAGAAGGGTGGGTAATGGACTCGCGTGCTGATCTGCCTGACTAGACGGGAACGAAGCAAGACGACGAGGCAACGCCGAGGACTGGCCAGAGGCCCCAGCTTGGTGTCCACACTGTGGGCCGCAGGAGGAGCAACAAGAGGGAGAGAGAGCAACCGGCGAACAGCCCGAGAACTCGGTCGTACTTCTACCATTGTAGAGCTGCGACCCTCCTCCTCCTCCTCCTCTTCCTCAGCTCGTGAAGTAGGAGCGGTGGACAAGACACACGTACTAACAAACTGTACAGCGCAGGAACCAGCGAGACAAAGGTGGGCGGACAAGGTTACATCTTCCAACCTGAATTGTCCACTTTGCTCTTTTTCGGTCTGCAGAGCGACTGAGTCTTCATCCCTGGAGTGCCAGCCTAGCAAATACACTAGCCATTAAGGATCTACAAGTGCCAGGATGGAAATTCATTCCCTGTTAATGTTGACTACATGAGTTGTTCTTATTTTTTTAAATTTCTTTTATTTTTACTTTAAACCATTGTTTTTTAAACTGGTATAGCCTTAATAGGCTACAGGTACAGTACCTTAAGAGTATTCAGGTAACTGGAGAACAAAGGTGGTTAGGTCTTTTTTTTCTTATTTAAAAAAAAATAAACTGGCTTTTTTAAAAAATGTATAGCAACGATCAGCACAATGTGAAATGGGATATTCAAAAATTTGGGTTTTTAAAAATGAAAATATTTTTTATTACAGAGTATTAAAAAAGGAAAACAAAGCTGCATGTCTTAAAGTAATCCAGAACGGTGATACTGCAAGGAGAGACAGACTGGACAGACTGGGCAGACTGGATAATGAAACGACAAAATAATCAATTTGTTGACAGTGATTTTTTGTAATGGATTAATGGATTTTGTTATTGAGCCACTGATATTTGGGACTGCCCCAGTCTGAAGGCACAAAATGGACTATAGAGTCATTGTGGGCACTGAACTGTAAATATATAGAGATTATTAATATGCCTCCAGTGAAAGTCGGGTGCAGTACTCATAGCTTGTCTTCAAGATACAAGTGCCATGATAGGAGTCCAATTATTTTTTGTAGCTGGAGACCAAAAACAAACCATATCTTCCTTTGTCAGCCTCCTGATTTCAGTTCCACTGGGCCACAAAACAAATGTAGTAAAGTTACCCAAGTTTCATTCACTGTAATGTTGGTATAATAATAGGAAAGGAGTCCCAGTTAGGATCTTTGAAAATTAAATTACTACCTCAGTAACTTAAATTGAACTTAAATTAAAAGTCAAGGATATCCAGTAACTGGCTAGTTACATTTGTTAGGTGTAATCATCTCTGTACTGGCATTGCACACTTTAGCATCTGCCTGTTTTTCTTAGCTGCTACATATACATATGTGTAGATCATGCTACAGATATCTTTTATTACTGTCTGTAAACTGATAAAATTATTAATGATTTTATAAACCGTTATTAAAACCCCCAAATGTTAGTATTAGGTACTGTATATGGTTTAGGTTCAGGTCAGGTAACATATGGCTAATCTACAATGCAGGCTGGTTCTCATCACACTCATGCCATTCTATTAATAATTGATAAAATGTCAGAATGCCAATGGCAACCCCTTATCTAGCATTGTGAGCTCTGTGTGTGAATATATATATATAGTCTTAGGTTATATATTGTCTAACCTATGTAATCAGGGGTCTTTCAAGATGAAAGTGCATCTTCATTTAGCCTCATAAAACAGACCTCACACAGTATTCTCAAGCTTGAATGATTTGCCTTGTAATTCTATTCGTTGAGGAAAATGCATGCAGTTTATTGGCCAAAATTTAAAATAAAAAGTATTGCTCTGTGCCATCTCATAATAGTGATGACATCAGAATACAGGAAATTATATCAGCAAGGGTTTCTTACATCTTTACTTTCAGCTACAAAATGAGGGCTTAAAACTTTTCTTTTAGGAGAGCCATCTAGAGATTTCCGAGATGATCCTCGAGTTCAGAGCTATTCGTTACAACTGTTCCTACAGGAGCCAAAAGTTGATTCCGGGATTTGGTTATAATCAAAAAGTCAAAAAAGAAACAGTAGCTCATCAGGCCTATCTGCGGGACCTTGAAAAAATCACACAACTGATATAAAAAATTGAGTATTTTATATGATTTGTGCCATAGATTCTGACAGACTCTGTCTGCGCTAGCTGTGACACTCGGTTCACTACAGTCACTGCCAAGACCAGCATAAAGTGTAACTTTAAGAACGATTTCAGGGATTCTTACCATAGACATTAATCTATACAGTCTTTAAGAATGAGGTCCTATGTATTCAGTACTAGAATTTAAAATGGGCCCATCTTGCCAAACAAAGACAGATCAGCATTACAAGTTTTCTTTATTACTTTCTATAATTATCACTTTTTTTCTGTTGCAGTTTTCCTTTTTGTGCAAATTGCTTATTTGCTTCAAACACAATCTCCCCAATCAAGAACATATTTCCCCCACTCCACTCAGTACCCTCTCACCCATCCAGTGGTTGTTTTTCTTTAAACAGAACTGCTAATGTACAGCATATCCTCTTTGAAGTTCAGTTAATTACCCATGAATGCGATTTCTAGAGGGCTGTTGTCACTGATGTCAGATATAGAGAACACAAAGGCCTGATAGGTTATGTGTAATAAGCCCACCAAAGGCAGTTATACCTTAAATTATAGCAGAAAAGGAAACTGTTCTGAACAAAGCACATTAGCCTAATGACCAGCTTCTACAAGCCCAGTTTTGTGCATTTCAGAATGGTTTTCTCATTCATTCACCAAGATAATTCTAGCTCGCATGTAAGCCTGCAGTGCTACTGTACGTCTTGTTGCAAGTTGCCTTCATGACAATTAACAGAGAGATGTTTTGCAGAATGTGCTTCCACGGAACCACTCAAGTGTTTTCCTTTCTTAATTTCACTCATTTCTGTCGCCTCACAGTGAGAATAAACTTGGCAGCACTTAGCCGGGCTAATTTAGGTAATTGGTTCCCTGCAGTTAAGAGTAAATTGCATTGCAGATTGCTATGCCACTCACAGTAATGTACTCCTTGGAGTAACAGTTGTGATGCACTATGAAGTGACAGATCTGGAAAAAGAAACTAGGCAGTCTATAGTAGACGTTAGTTTGTGACTGAAGGAGAGTATTCATTTTGCTCACCCCATAATCCCATTGTTCTGTTCACATTGATTCGGCCTTGCTTCCATTAAGTGTGACTTACCAATGTAAATGTAGCTGAAGTGCCTTGAATGGCCAGGATTTGTGAATGAAAGTCACTGAATGAACACTTAAGGTAATGATTCAAATAATCCACAATGGAGAACTGCTTCTCTTTTAAATCTTAAGTAATATCATTTTGCAGAAAACAGACTTAATATTTTAACATGCAAAGATTTTGTTTTTATTGTTATCATTTCATTTGTGATGATGATCCATTTCAGAGCTAATATCTCTAGCTGAAAGACTGCCCTGTTTGGCTCCATTTTGAATCTACTAAGTAGAGTTCTGCCAGGAAGAAAGTAGATTATGCAGACAAAATGTGATTGTTCAGCCTGTATATTTTGGCTAACTTAACCACTAACTGCAATATAAGTCTGCAACCAGAACAAACTGGACACAACTGGCTGCTTCATATACTAGGAAAGGTTCGGTTTGTACTGAAACATGATTTTTGTCATTGTAATTAATGTGTTTGAATAGAACAATAGAGGTTTTTTACTGCAATAGTGCCTGATCTTTATGGGTGAGAGATAATAGTTTTATACAATACAGTTGCTTCAGAAAAATGCAAACCTGGGGAATGTTTATGGGATGTTTGAACATTTATTCAGATTGTAGCCCTATGTTTTTTTAGCTCTTTGTGTTCCTTTTTGCACCTTCAGATATAAATTATGGCAGCTGTTGCCTTGCCAAGAAAACTGGGAAATTTAAGGCTTGATTTTTAAATCAAACCCTCTGGCTTTTTAAAAGTTGAAAGAGCATGTAGTAAATGCCCAGTTAAATTAGATTAAGGGTTTCTTTTGAGTTTTTGTACCATCCCACCTTCACTGCCCTTTAAGTTTCATTCTGCTCGATAATATGGCTGATTTTTACATCCTGTAATTCACCAACCATCTCACAAGTTCTTTTGTGGAAAGTTCATTAGTGTGCTGTCGAAATGTGTGGGCTTATTTATACTCTTCCTTCATTCACAAATTCATCCAGTTTGATAATGTCGATTATTTCTTTTGTCATCACTTAATGGCTTCCATTGTAGAATGCAATACCTCCTTTATTTAAACTGCATGAAAGGAAATCCAAACATAAACCCTCAAATCTTATTTGTAATCATCTGATCGTTCTGCAACATTAATGCTTTTAAGTGTTTTTACTTAGGGTGTAATGTATTTTAGTGGATTAGAAATAACAGCTTATTGTTATCAGAACCCAGTAAAAGGTATTGCACAGCATTGCCTTTTACAACCACTATACTATAGTAAAATAATACTGTGTGCATTATTTTTAATGTTTTTTATGGAAGAATTTGATCACGTATACATTTGGGTATATATAGTTTATATAATATAAGGGTATGTATGTATGTATTATAGAACCCCCTACAGAAATTTAAAATTACATCCGTGAGCTTAAATCTTCTACTCTATGCCCTCATTTTTTAAATGAAGAATTCATTATCTTACCATGTGGCCCAGCTTTGCTCAAAGAGTACATTTATGAAAAATCCTGCTTGTTCTACAAAGATGTTTGAAAATGAAAGGAGGTCTAATTGGATTTCAAGCTGTAAGAAGTTCAGAAAAGTTAATCTTTCTACAAAGGATTCTAAGCATGTGTTTGGCTGCTTAGTTGAGAGGAGCAATTTTTCCCTTTTCTCTAGTTAATGGCCGAAAATGAGAAGAAGTGTTTTCAAGGCCTTTCTCGGGCAACTTGGCACCAGATAACCAGTTTGAAAGTGCCTGGAAGTTAAACCTCTCTTTGCTGTATTACCGGCCTAATCTGTACGTGCGTTCTTGTGCTGCCCAGAGTCTGACAGGAATTCCTCTTTCCTCTGCTCTTCATGAGTTGGAAATAACACATCCAAGAGTTCTGAAAAAAATATTTCTTAGGAGCCTGAAATACAACATTGCTGTCGCTAATCAAATTTCAAATGCAGTAGCAAGGGCTGTTGGTAATTAAATATCTCTAAAAGACACTCATGTTCCTTTCTTTTTTTTTTTGCTTATTGTTTAACATACAATGTTTCAGCCAGGTCTTGTTTAGCATTTCATCAAGGATGGTTTGCTGATTCCCCAGTTCTTGTTGGGGAAATGGTTACGTCAGAGTCAAACTTTGGGCAACATCACGTTTCACTTGTTTTAGCAGGGTCCTTACTAAAGATAAAAATATTTTCACTATGTATAAAATTACTAATTTCATTGATGTGATAAACTTTGAGGCATTCTTTCTCTGTTGAAAGTCCGGCCTGAGATTACGGTGTTACCACTACATTTCAACATCACTCCTCATAAAAAGCTGCTTGTTTTGGTAGGACTTTATTATTTTTATGTTATAAACCATGTCAGAAACACTTTTCTTCCTGTCTTTGGTGTAATCTTTAATTTATTAAAAGCAACAAGATGTGGCATAGTGATGCTTTATGTGCTAGGACCCTTAAAAACATTTTGTCTCTGGGTTACTGGATAAAAGAAAAATAAGCTATGCCAAATTCCTGCAGTCTGTCAAGGTATTAAAGAGCGACACATAGGAAACTAGCAGGGCAACCTTTTTTATGCCTATGATTTTTTTTTAAATCATTCATTGCTTATAATAAATGGTACTGTTAAGCAGGGAAGGGAGACTAAGATATGCGTGCTGGTACTGCAGTGGCAGTTTTGCCGTAGTTTAGCGACAATATCAGGACAGGTGTAAATACAATTTCCAGATCATAGATACTGGAGCAACCATGAACTTAATGAAGAGTTTATATTCTTCTAAAACCCACATACATCTGGGTTAGCCCACTAAACACAAATGCCTATTCTCTGTCATCAAGGGGGAAAGTTTAGTTCAAAATCACTAGAACAAGCCTTCAAAACTGTCCTCCTTATCAGTGCACTAGAGTGTGCTTTACTTTTTGCACTTTGTGTTACTTCAAAACAAAGTGAAGTATGCAAGAGGTTATAGGCTCCTCCACCTTTAGGACAGTGGTGAGACGATTCTTATTATGCATCACAAAAGATAAGGTACATTTATGCAGCAGCTCTACCAATGAGAGGTCCAAGGGGAGTGCCAGACTCTCAAGGATAAGGGGACAGAGGGGGTTTCGGAGGAAAAACGAGATGGAATTAATTCTGGCTGCTGGAACAGACTGCTTTCTGTCCCCATCTTTGAGTTCACATTCCCTATGCCCACTGATAGTCCCATTAATCTGCACACTGCCGACTTTGTGTTTCAAAGGTCCTGTATTTTAATGTTGAGTATTAATAATTATAATAATAAATAATGGTGGTAATAATCACCTGGACTGTACAATCAAAGACTGTAATTGTTGTTAATATTTTTTATTGTGTAACTAATATTTTTGTGATTTTAATTTGCAAATAAAAACACCACTGTCTTTATTTTTTCCTTGTTTTCTGAAAGACTAAGAACCGACTAAAGAGACAATGGAGCGAAACTGGCTGCCGTTTTTTTCTTTTTTTCCCTTATTTAAATTCTATGTCATTCAATCTCTTGAGAGATTAAATTGTTTTAACCTAAATACAACAGTTTCAAATAAAGATCCCAAAGATGGGCTTTCACTTCAACATGTGCAACAGTATAGTGACAACAAACAGTTACAGGCTTCTCAACATATCACATTCGTAGTGCAAAACATCTAGTGATATTTCCTTTGACATCCATGCAGGTGTGTGTAAGGGGGCTGGCTGAGTGGGAAGAGCTGAAGATGAAGGAATGATATTCCATGTTGGTGGAGGTTGTTGGATTAAGAAAATAAAAAGCAGGACAAGGTGGACTTTATCAAGTGCTTAAATGACACCGACTATGACTATCTGCAAAAGAAGAAAAGGTCCATGTTTGTGATCATTTACTCTGTGATCTTTCCAAGATGTTAAAACAGTCTGCTTACCCATTTCAATACATTCATCTTTGTTGAAGAGCATTGAGTGCAGGGCCTTTCTTGTGGATGTTTGTCTCTTAGCTTACCAGTTTACCTTTGTGATTGGAATACCAAGTACTTGAAATTGATAGCATCAACTTCCTGCCACAAGTTCCAAACAAAATAAAACCAACTTCTTGTCCAAGTCAGACCTAATTAATCAAGTGAGTGAGTTGAATTCATTAGGATTCCAACCAGATTTAAAATAATCATGTAAAAAGCAAGGCTGCAGTGCTTACATAGAAGACTAGTCTGGTTTGTGCAAATCCCAGACGAAGTGTGAAGAGCTTAATTTGTCATGTTTTGGGCATGCAGTTCTTTTTAACTGCTAGTTTTTCCATGCGTGATCCGATTTTCAGTTTTTGCCCCACTTGGGGTCAGGACTCCTCTGTTGCCACAGGTTTTGATTTGTTACTTTAGGGTGCATAAAAAATGTTTTTTCAGACATTTTTGTATTGGTGATAAATGGAAATTTCTTCCACCCTGAAAGCATTGCTTCCAAAACAGTACAATCCAGAAAGGAAAAGCACATTGTCCTCAGTAGATGAATGTGTTGTGAAAGATTGATAAATTAGAAAGCCAAAGAAATACTCATGCAGACAATATTTAATTCATCTTTAAAATGCATGGCTTATGTTTTGAAAGGCCATCGACAATTTTTTCCTCATTGCTTATGCAAATACTTTTTTATCCATTAAATAATACGGCATGTCATTTTAAATTTCTTTGTGCATTTCATCATTTTCATGGTTTGGTGAATTGATGGTTTGTTTGCATAGATAACGAAATGTACTAATGCCTTCACACAAAATGAATAAACCATTTCTACACTTGAAACAGCTCCTGCTGCGTGTGGAACAAACGCACCATTTTTCTCTCCGTAACACTTCCTGGTCTCTACCCTTTTAATGTCAAGTTTAATTGTTCTTTTCTTTTCTAAATGAAATGGTCATGTATGCTTTTGCTAAAAAAGCAATCCCCTTTTTGCCAGAAGGGTTTTTAATAACAGGATCAATTATTTCCACTTGCTTCTGATGACCCAAACACCACACTATGAATGCAAGAGAAAAACAGGAAAACTGAAAAATTCATATATTATAATTCACCTCTTGTTGTTTGTATTTTTAAAAGAACAGTGTGTACTGCATTTTCTGTCAGTCTTGCTCATGTCATTTATAGCTTAAATATGTCGTTGCGTGAATTCAGTGTGATTCTTTACCATTTCTGGCAGATGTTTTTCTAGGTAACTGCAGAAGAAACAATAGCTCCAGAAAGGTCTTTTAAAATGATGAGAGCAAGTGTACAAATTGGTGTTGCTCTATGATACAAAGACCTGTGTAATATCTGTCTTGTAGTAATGTACTTTCCCTTTTACACTTCATCTTGTCTGACATGTTCAGGAGCCCTTCGCTGCTTGAACAGAAATATAATGCAAAACCAAATAATCACATGCAACACGGAAAGCAGACAAATGACAAATTACTGTAAAACATGAAGATGATACCATTGCTTTAAACACTATCTACAGCAGTGACAGAAAAGGCAATAATCAGTGTCATGCATCTACATCGCTGGCAGAAAAGGCAATGATCAGTGTCATATGTCATGCTGTGGATGACTGACAGTAAAATCATCTCCTTTGAGATTTAGCCATGTCTGTTTAATGCTAACAGATGGTAATGAAATGACTAGCTGGGGAAGACTGTAACATTAGTAGATAGGAAACATTCAGGAGAGTTGGGAAGGTGTAGGTGTAGCTCTACACTAAAAAAGAGCTTTCTGGAACAAGAATTTAATCTCAAGGATTGAGCTGACTCGATTTGGACCTGACGTATAAAACACATTGAAGCAGCAAGGTGTCAGGAGTATACTACAGGCCACCAAATTCAGACAATTGTGCAGTATGTTGTCATGTATAATTGTTCATTTCAGGAGTCCTACATAATGAAATCAGGAAGTCTGAGGGGTAAGCTTGACCTTCGTCAAGAGACCAGAAAAAGAATTTGAGACCAGACTGCAGAGGTGAAGCGATCATCGGGCCTTTGTTTCAGCTGAAGTTCGGGTGTGATGTGGCAGCATGTGAGAAAAAGTTTTCTCTGCCCTGTCCCCCAGCTAGGTTCCTTTTATAGCCAGATATAAACAAGCCTTAGTCCAAACCACAATACCATGGCTGCTTCCTCATCTCGATGCATGTCCTCATCCATCGATTGAAAAGAAGATGGAGTGCCTTCCACCCTCCTTTCTCCTTTTCTTTCTCCATTTCTCCATAGACACTCCTAATTTCTAATTGTCAGCAATCTACATATTAGTTACAGTATATCAGAATTATGTTTTTCAACAATAGCAGAAAAAAAGTTAAGTGTAAGCAACTTTTTTAGGTATAGGGTCATCTATGGCTCTAGTTAACAAAGGACATAGGCCTGTTAGTAATGTTCTAATTACAATTATATATAAAAGATAAACTCCAATCCCTCAGATGTGTTAAGGACAAAGTGATGAACACAAAATATGTAGACTTTTCTCACATAGACTGGGAAAACAATCAGGTACTGTACTATATGTCAGCTGGTGAAAATGAAATGTTAAACGTGGCTAATAGGGCTAGCCAGGGAGAGCACCTGGTCGGGGGAGGCTTCTGGTACAGTACAGTAAGAAAAAGAGTCAGAAAACTATAATGCAACTTTGGTCATGATATAACCAAATATATCACAATATCATAATCATGCTTTTAATTAACTTATGACACTGTACTGGTGCAAACAAAGGTGTACAATTTCAGGAAAGCAAAGGACCTGAAGGAAAGAGACAATTTTCTAAATGGACTTTTCTATCCTGACAAATTTTAGAAATGTATAAGGAGAAAGAAAGTCACTTAATAAAGTGACTATAAATACAAGGATACAGTTGATAAAATGGAGTTTAATGAACTGCAAGCCCAGTTAAAAATCATATTAGTAGAGCTGGGAGAGAGAGAATATCATAGAAATGTAATTGATAGAAAATAATATTTCAATGAAAGCAAAAATGAATACATTTTTTTTCAATATCATAGCAGTATAAAAGAACAGTAAAGACTTAAAATGTCCCAGATCATGGGTGTCATTGTCAACATATGTTGGACTTAATATTTTGCTAATTAGCAAAACAATTTATATGAGTAATACTTTATAATTACAGTCAACATGCACTCTATATTGTACCAAATTATGTGTGTGTGTGGGGGGGTAAACAGACAAGCACACACTCATATAATGGCCAGTTTTCCCAGAAGCCCATTAACCTAGCTGTATGGCCAGAGGAAATCCATCTGAAAACAGGGAGAAAATAAAAACTCCACACAGATAGCACCCCAGGAATTGAACCCAGGACCCAGGCATAGCTAGGCATAGCTTTTTCTCTTATATTTCTGAATTTTGAAACAACATTTTTAAAGCATCCTTAGTAACTATTTTATGTAATCAACAGAGTAATTCATGTTTGACATATACTTAAATGGCTCATGTGACACATCACAAATTCTAATTTATGGTTCATTAATCAAAAAATCCAAGCACATGATTTAACTTGAAAAGCATGGCATTAATTCCTTCTCCTTTGAAGACCCTGTGCAGCCTATCCTCTGTGCTTTAGTCGTGGCATCTGAATTTACGCTCAATTACAGGAGACGCAGGGTAGATAAAAGACTACTTTAGCGGTCTCCAAGTTTTAGGATTTTAGAATTTACATAGCAGAGTTCAAAGGAGTAAAATGTCTTCTCTTGACATATTTGGCTTAATATGTGCTGATGTGTGCATAATTTCTTTAAAGATCTGGTGCTTTATTATACAAATACTTCAATCACTGCTCATCTGGGATGTAAATGCTATTTCCTTTCAAAAAAGGACTGCTGTGCTGTGCAGCTTTGACAATTTAAATCATTATTAACGTGGCAGCTACTACACTCAGTTTCTTGGCACTAATAAGTCTTTCAAGATGCTGTTCTTATGAATCTATTACTGGGGTCCACTGTCAGGAGGTGGGGGGGTTGGACTGTACAGCACTGGGAAATCGCAGATGACACTATTGAGAGACTCCTATATTAAATCCACCACTTGCAGAGACAGAAAATTGGATTGTTTCTGTCATGTTGCTATATTGAACTGTTTC